CACAGTCGATAAACCAGTCGATAAACACGGTCGATAAACACGGCAAAATATATATAACGAAATTATTGACACGGAGACCTTTGAAAACATATATTCAAGTATACTGTAAAATTTCAAAAGAACTGTCATGTCATTAAATTTAAAACATAATACACACAAATGTAATTCTAATTTTTGTTGGAGAATTATCTAACAAGTGACCTTACCTACAGTGTACAAACCCAAATCATGGCCAAAACCTCCAATACATTACACGGCTCCTCTAGGCCCCTAAACGTGACAATCAAATTCGGCGATGAATTACTCGATAAAAAGACAGTCGTTTTCTTTTTTGCATTATTTAAAACGCTTACATAACGTTTCGGCTATGTATCTGCTTCTTAGCGCTATCCCCATGCATTATGTATGGCTTGGTCAGCGATAGGCGATCCGCGCCTACTGTTCTGGCAACGGGAAGCCTACCACAAAAAGATGCATGGGTTTTTAAGTCACAAGCTCTCTGTTATCTTTCTGCTGTCTGAAGCTACCCTCGTATTCTTTTATAGAATACAAAATTAATGAAAACCTATTTGTTTAGGATGTATTTAATTGATGTAACAGGGGTTCTCATACATATTAAATGATCTCTCAACTGGGGGGGGGGGGGGGGGGGATTTTATGGGAGCTTAGGAATAGATAATGGGTGTTCTCCTTAACTGTCAAACATGTACCGTTAATGTAGTTATATTGCATATTCGATGAATAAAGAAAACTCTATTGACAGAAATATGGGTTACTGGTCGATGAACAAGGCCTTTTTTATAATATGAGTCCCAAAGCATTTCAGTCAATAGCATAAAGTTGAATTGTGCTTTGTATGTGTAGTATTATTCACATCACATGTCTATGGGTGTGTGGTTTCACGTTTCTAACTTGGTCAGTTTTAAGATAACACTTATTTCACACGAACAATACATCACCTACAGGTAGCATGACACTACTGCGATTACGACAGAATACATTTTGATAACTTTAACAAGAACACATGAAATGAAAAACAGTTTACTCTGTATCAATTAAAACTCCATTTACAAAACGTAATGTGATGGGAAAATATTTTCAAACAGTAGAATGTTCAAATGTGAAATGATCTTGGAAGGTATCTTTCGTTCTTGATATTAGACTGAACATTTAGCTATCTTGACATTTTGCAAAATATATTTGAATTTGAGATATTGAAGATGGATGCGAGGACAATTTGAACGCAATGTACTTTGTATAAGTAGTAACAACAAGGAATGTCTTTCAGAACGCTTTAATGGGAAAGGCCAACCCGTATGCCACTATACCGTTACAAATAACCGGAGACGTTAATGTTTGAAAACTCTTTCATCATGATTATCTTGGGAAAACATGAATCATAATTTCAACTCATTATAAAATCAAACTCAACCCTGATAATTACAACCATTAGGGTATTTATGGAATGAAAATAGAGTGAAATCTGGAGACATTTTGATTCTTCCATACATAACCATTGTTAACTATTAATAACCATCTCTACAACCTGCTGGTGTCAGGCCGTGTTCCCATCAACGGGTAATACATCTAATGTTACACGTCCTCAACACACCCTGCTCTCCTACATACGACACAAGTTGTTTACACGGTGTATTTTTGATGAAAATCGTGTTGAATGTCTCAACTTATACAACACAAGGGTAAATCACATATCGATCTTTTCACATGATCACATAGTAAACATACCTGAATTATTTTTGTAAAGTATCCACTTCAAACGTCCATTGAAGTTATTTTTAATATCCGACGATGATTGATGGATGGTGTAAGGATTTGTTATCTGTTTATAACTGCTTTGGTGATATGAAGAAGGTGCATACGTATAGACATAGAACTTGTTCAAGTACAGTACAACACCACACCACGTCCAGTGACATTGCAACGGGGTAACCAAATGTATTTAGGGAAAACAAAGAATCAATATTGAAGAAACGAAAAAGAGGTCATACGTGTTATAAACCCCCTGTGGGGATTCCTCTATATCTGGGCATCATAGAACAAAACAGCCTGTCAGTTATTCCATAACACCCCCAGATCAATATCTGACTAACGTTCATACTCGGACAAATACTGTTCATCTACCTCTTCATTGAAACATTTGTGTTCGAGTTATTCCAATTCATAACGTCAATTTAGGATAATATATAGTTTACACTAATACAGAATCATTTGACCATTACCAATGGGACGATATTTAGCACCCTTTAGAAAGGAGGCTAATTAATCTAGATATAATTACCTGTAATATAACATATTGGATATGTCTATCAGTGAGGAAAGAGGTCTCTACTGCTGCATGGTTATATCTGGAGTGGATAGCCCTAAAATAATTCCATTTATTTTGTTAGATTAACACTTAAATCATTGTAACAGCAGATAACGTTTTCGAAAACCAGATATATTACATAACATTATCGATCAATCTATCACCTAATCGCTGCGTTATGATGCCGTAATATGGCCGATCATGTGGTCTGTTTCACCTGTCAAAGCTTGTCTTGTGAGAGATACAGCCAGATACTTTGATTTAAATACCTCTCCCGTCGCCTAGGTAATATCATTACTGCCTTTTAAGTCTTAATAAACCAACAAATGGCTTCTAAAACAAGGTTACTGAGTGGTATAACGTGTATTTTGAAGTATCGAAATTAATAAAGATTGCTTACTTTGATCTAAAGCCTTGATAAATGCGTCGTTTATTGGCAACTGTTGAATATGCAGCCGTGCATACCTGTTCCATCAGCAGATAGGACACTCTGCACAATCTTAATGGTCGTCATGCACATCGTTATGGAGTGTAATATGCTAAGCTGTACCCTTTAATTGCAAATATAGGACAACACGTGCGATAAATATAATACCTCCATTTGACAAATTAACTTCTACTTAAAGTGTATTGCCAGGGTTTTCTACCGGAAATCTTCAATCTACTCTGAAGACATTTTATGCTTGTCGTCAGTTCCTGGATCTCAATTATGAACTTTCACTGTTTACTGTTTAAACAGATATATACAGACACGCTCGCTGTCTCAAACCATTTGCTTTTTTTGTGGTTTGGTTTATCGGAATGAGTGTCCTCTTATTATATCAGGGTTTAATAAAATGACAGATAGTGAATTGGCTTATGTATGTACCTCACTAAGGTTACTTTACAAACACTTTCGTGGGTTTGACTATTTTAAATGAATGTATATAAAGTGATAGGGTGTACGTATTGTAATTGCGGTGTTGATAGACTCACTTCAAGATATTTCATCTAAATTATGAATCCAACAAGTCACCAGGTCAAGTTGAAACGTTTTTGTTTGTTTCTAATTAATCAATTTATTCGAAACCATGTATAGTTTAAGTATAATAAAAAACAAATTACGCAACGATATTCACGTAGCTTTGCCAAGGTCTGTTATTATACGCATCAATACAGATTGATATTCATCTGATGGAATTGTGTTTCATATTGATATACATATAGTGCCAGTTATCTCCCTTATATTGGTAGCTAAACTCCACGTGAACTTAAGTATAAACAGTTAAGTACAATACGTGTCGATGATTTATATTACCGCCTCAGGTTTCTAACACTCGACACCAAATCAATCCCCCCCCCCCCCAATATCTCCTCCGATGTGTTTTGATAATGATACCTAACTCTACATTGTTTGGTAATTTACATTGTGCCGAGATAGCAATATATTAAAAGGAAACAAAAAGGATTTAAATTTGTCTATCTTCCTAACTGTATACCTGACTGAGTATGTCGTTTCACAACATACACCAGCGCTGCTGTCATGCTTACTCGAGCCTAACATAATAGTTAAATGATTCCTGTTGGTTTTAATTAATCGACTGGTGGTTATTTCTAATGAGAGATTGATTGATGGCCTTACCGATGTAGGTGTCCCGTGTGAAGTAGACGGTCCCGTTCTTTACCTCAGTGAGTCATACTTTATAGCAGACGTCGCCCTCTGGCGACGAGGGAATGCATGTTAAGGCAACAAGGTCTGCAATAAAGACATAGCTTGTTCTCATAACAACATTGGTCTGTTTAATTAAAGTTTTACTGAAGAAAGCTTCATCTACTCCTGAATGCTCGTTGCTCTCTGTTTGCCTGGACTATTAATAAGTGTTTTGTCCTTGTATGTTGACGCTGTGTTAAACATTACAGTGCGTTGATGGTATATTGTGTCCTTGTGTGTTAACACTGTTGTGCATTGTGTTCTTGTGTATTGACGCTGTGGTATATTTTATCCTTGTGTGTTGACACTATGGTATATTTTATCCTTGTGTGTTGACACTATGGTATATTTTGTTCTTGTGTGTTGACGCTGTGGTATATTGTGTTCTTGTGTGTTGACGCTGTGGTATATTTTGTCCTTTTGTGTTGACACTGTGGTATATTTCGTTCTCGTGTGTTGACTCTATGGTAATTTTTGGTCTTGTGTGTTGACACCATGGCATATTTTGTTCATGTCTATTTACGCTGTGGTATCGTTTGTCCTTGTGTTTTGACATCGTGGCATATTTTGTTCATGTCTATTTACACTGTGGTATCGTTTGTTCTTGTGTGTTGACACTGTGATATTTTTGATTTTTTTCGTTGACTCTGTGGTATATTTTGTATTTATATGTTAACGCTGTGGTCCTGTGTGTGAACGTTCTGACATGCTATTTTGTATACACTGTACCTTAATGCTATCTTAAATGTTAAAGATTGTTATAAAGCTAAATTTAAGTGTCATCTAGTTGGTGCGGTATTAAATAAACTTTAACTATAATAAGATTTAACAATCATGTCAGTGAAATGTAAAGATATAGATAAACAATGGTAACGAATACTGTTCCTTTAATAGAACTTGAAATGTACTGTAAGTGCACGTCAATGTTACACCCTAGAACAGTGTATGTGTGTAGTGGTAATACGGCCTTACGATATCTTACAGGATGGACATGGCGACAAGGTAAACACTTTACTTTATTTTGGTGGAGTTGCTGGTGGCGGTTTGCATTTTAAATTAACGTTCACAATAAGTTTTATTGCATTAGATTGAAAGTGACATACATCTGCACGCAGCCTCAATCAGATTGGGTGATGACATGTATCGTGCTTCTTGTCACGTACAAGGGGTTTCACTTGTAACACACGTAACAAACACGATTGATTTATGTTTTAAGGCAGACTTTGATAGCAGTGTATCGCTCAATCAAATCTGCGTATGTCATGTAACTCACTTTGGACCGACATAAATAGAACTGAAAATTTTGTTCAGTATGTCCATATTTAATGTAAAATAAACAAAAATATGAATATAAATCATGTTGTCAACATACACAACAAAATATGCAACGGCATCAACACACAACACATATACCGCAATATCAACATAAAACAAATATACCACAGCATCTACTTACAAGAAATATACCACACTATCATCACATCACAAATATACCACACTATCATCACACATAAAATATACCACAGTTCCAATACACAGCAAATCAACACACCACAAATATACCGCGATATCATTTCACAGCGAATATACCACAGTATCAACACACAGCAAATCAACACATATCAAATATACCACAGTATCAACACACAGCAAATCAACAAACAGCAAATATACCACGATATCAACACATAGTAAAATATTGGACATATCATAGCCATTGCTACTCTCCACCAGACAATTGTAAGCAGTATTTCTGAGAGGTGCTAAAGGTCATTTTTATCTTATTGTAAATTTCCTTTCAGGCGTTCATCGGGATTATTTGTGTTTAAGTAACAGCTAACCTTTTTGTGATTTTCTTTAAAAGTAAACCTTTAATTGGTATTCTATTAAATGCACCTTCACGTAGGCATATAACGAGCTTCATGATGATCACCTCACTTTATGTACAATAGCTAAATACTCGTTAACGTGTTTAACCGATGCGTTCCGAAAGAATATAACGATGTGTTTCGAAGAAGTGCACCAACTAACCGATAAGTTTGCAGGAAATCTGCAATCCTTGTTTATGTGTGTTGCCTTCGGGAACATCATATACGCTTCCTTTATGTGGTTGTATGTAGAAACGTTGGTAGATTAATTAAATTCAGATCGAGAGACGTGTTGTCTACCTCTTTGAACAAATCTTCGTCAAAATGGCATTTCCTCCTTGTTACGATATTATTTGTTTCAGCAGATCACTAGATGCTATCAAGGCCTAACACGTGTATAGCATGATTCTTTGATAAACCATTAGAGCTTGTGTAAGCGTTTAATGGTATGGCCTAAAACATGCATGTTTACAAGAGAATCCTTTGATACCAACAGAGCCCTGCAGGTCTGATAGCAGACACTGTGTTTTATTACACAAACAACTTAACAGTGCTTCAGATAAGCATCACGAGATGGTTACTCTAAATCACTCAAATACTGTATTATAAATCATATGTGAACTGTTTTCGTATTTGATGAAATGTTACGTGTTCCAACGATAAATTCTTTAATTTTACATTTTATAATGAAATTGCTTCCTTGTAAAGACTAGTTTGCTTTGTTTTTTTAAACAGTTCAGATCTTAATTAATTTATACCCTAACATGGAGAGCCAACAACGTAATAGACATGCGATCTTAGTCTGGATATCAAACAATTAAAAAAACATAGTATATTACTTGATGTTAGATAGCACGAGTCCAAACGAACCATTATACTTCCAGTAAATAGACTGCATCCAGTCACAAAAGTGAAACCAAGTTTTTATGCTTTTGTGTTTTGCAGACAAATCAACGCCACGGAATCCAATGAGCTGCTCAATGGAAATGAAATGAAGGTAGGATTGTGGCTTTTATCAATCTTTCATGAAGTTAATATATCGTTTGGTATCCTAATACACAACTAGATTTAACGATGTGCAGCATGTATGTAGCCTATATTTTCGTCGTGAGATAAAACATATCAAGACTAGTTATAAACCTTACACTACATGATTGTACTTCCACTACATGATTGTTCTTCCACTACATGATTGTAGCTTGTAACCTCGATTTTACTTGGAGCAAGCTACAAAAATAATTTCAGTTAAAGCTTGCTGAAAGATGCTTTTATTTCGCCAAGATATATTTGAATTGCGGGGTTACCATGTTCGATGGGCCCCTTTGTTAATCCTTCCTACTGTTTTCGTTTACATCATTAATCTCAATATGATTGAAATTTGTATTACAACTGAATTTGACTTTATCTCACATCCCCTCTTCCTAGAATTGAATACTTTTGTGCGCTACCTTACATTATATCACATAGCCAGACATAGACAGTTGTTAATTGTAGCAATTAAGAAACAAAGTGTTCTTCGTCTTCTTCTGAAAATGTTTACATCATCTTTGCCTTGTAGAAATATATCAAAAAATTTACATTACAAAGATATGCTTTATTTTTTATATAACAGCTGATATTTTTATCAATTTATATATCATATAGTGATTTTTTCTATTGTCAAAGCCTCAATGTAGCTAGAATTGCCCAAACGTGGCTTTTTACAAGATACGCTGTGTTGCGATTTGCTTCTTTATGTGTATATTGAGTAACATACCAATCTTTGTGTATATTTGATAACGACAAACTTAACTCACACTCATCTCTGCCTCCAAATTTTCTATGTAAGGACTAAGATAGGGGTGATATCTACGGCGTGCCACCTTAACAAGGCAGTGTTAGTGTAACGAAGCCTAGGGTTGATATCTACGGCGTGCCACCGTAACAAGGCAGTGTTAGTTAAACGAAGCCTAGGGGTGATATCTACGTTGTGCCACCGTAACAAGGCAGTGATAGTGTAATGAAGCCTAGGGGTGATATCTACGTCGTGCCACCGTAACAAGACAGTGTTAGTGTAACGAAGCCTAGGGGTGACATCTACGGCGTGCCACCGTAACAAGGCAGTGCTAGTGTAACGAAGCCTAGGGTTGATATCTACGGCGTGCCACCGTAACAAGGCAGTGTTAGTGTAAAGAAGCCTAGGGGTGATATCTACGGCGTGCCACCGTAACAAGACAGTGTTAGTGTAACGAAGCCTAGGGGTGATATCTACGTTGTGCCACCGTAACAAGACAGTGTTAGTGTAATGCAGCCTAGGGTTGATATATACGGCATGCCACCGTAACAAGGCAGTGTTAGTGTAACGAAGCCTAGGGGTGATATCTACGGCGTGGCACCGTAACAAGGCAGCGTTAGTGTAACGCAGCCTATGAGTGATATCTACGTTGTGCCACCGTTACAAGGCAGTGTTAGTGTAATGAAGCCTAAGGATGACATCTACGGCGTGCCACCGTAACAAGGCAGGGTTAGTGTAATGAAGCCTAGGGGTGACATCTACGGCGTGCCACCGTAACAAGGCAGTGCTAGTGTAACGAAGCCTAGGGGTGAAATCTACGTTGTGCCACCGTAACAAGACAGTGTTAGTGTAATGAAGCCTAGGGTTGATATATACGGCGTGCCACCGTAACAAGGCAGTGTAAGTGTAATGAAGCCTAGGGGTGATATCTACGGCGTGCCACCGTAACAAGGCAGCGTTAGTGTAACGAAGCCTATGAGTGATATCTACGTTGTGCCACCGTTACAAGGCAGTGTTAGTGTAATGAAGCCTAGGGGCCATATCTACGGCGTGCCACCGTATCAAAGCAGTGTTAGTGTAACGAAGCCTAGGGGTGATATCTACGTTGTGCCACCGTCACAAGGCAGTGTAAGTGTAATGAAGCCTAGGGGTGATATCTACGGCGTGCCACCGTAACAAGGAAGTGTTAGTGTAACGAAGCCTAAGGGTGATATCTACGTTGTGCCACCGTCACAAGGCAGTGTAAGTGTAATGAAGCCTAGGGTTGATATCTACGGCGTGCCACCGTTACAAGGAAGTGTTAGTGTAACGAAGCCTAGGGAAGATATCTACGTTGTGCCACCGTAATAAGGCAGTGTTAGTGTAACGAAGCCTAGGGGTGATATCTACGGCGTGCGACCGTAACAAGGCAGTGTTAGTGTAATGAAGCCTTGAGGTGATATCTACGGCGTGCCACCGTAATAAGGCAGTGTTAGTGTAATGAAGCCTAGGGGTGATATCTACGTTGTGCCACTGTAACAAGGCAGTGTTAGTGTAACGAAGCCTAAGGGTGATATCTACGTTGTGCCACCGTCACAAGGCAGTGTAAGTGTAATGAAGCCTAGGGTTGATATCTACGTTGTGCCACCGTAACAAGGCAGTGTTGGTGTAATGCAGCCTAGGGTTGATATCTACGTTGTGCCACCGTAACAAGACAGTGTTAGTGTAATGCAGCCTAGGGCTGATATCTACGTTGTGCCACCGTAACAAGGCAGTGTTGGTGTAATGCAGCCTAGGGTTGATATCTACGTTGTGCCACCGTAACAAGACAGTGTTAGTGTAATGCAGCCTAGGGCTGATATCTACGTTGTGCCACCGTAACAAGACAGTGTTAGTGTAATGCAGCCTAGGGTTGATATCTACGTTGTGCCACCGTAACAAGACAGTGTTAGTGTAATGCAGCCTAGGGTTGATATCTACGGCGTGCCACCGTTACAAGGAAGTGTTAGTGTAACGAAGCCTAGGGAAGATATCTACGTTGTGCCACCGTAATAAGGCAGTGTTAGTGTAATGAAGCCTAGGGATGACATCTACGGCGTGCCACCGTAACAAGGCAGTGTTAGTGTAACGCAGCCTAGGGGTGATATAGACGTTGTGCCACCGTAACAAGGCAGTGTTGGTGTAATGCAGCCTAGGGTTGATATCTACGTTGTGCCACCGTAACAAGGCAGTGTTGGTGTAATGCAGCCTAGGGTTGATATCTACGTTGTGCCACCGTAACAAGGCAGTGTTGGTGTAATGCAGCCTAGGGTTGATATCTACGTTGTGCCACCGTAACAAGGCAGTGTTGGTGTAATGCAGCCTAGGGTTGATATCTACGTTGTGCCACCGTAACAAGGCAGTGTTAGTGTAACGAAGCCTAGGGGTGATATCTACGGCGTGCGACCATAACAAGGCAGTGTTAGTGTAATGAAGCCTTGCGGTGATATCTACGGCGTGCCATCGTAACAAGGCAGTGTTAGTGTAATGAAGCCTAGGGGTGATATCTACGGCGTGCCACTGTAACAAGGCAGTGTTAGTGTAACGAAGCCTAGGGGTGATATCTACGTTGTGCCACCGTAACAAGGCAGTGTTGGTGTAATGCAGCCTAGGGTTGATATCTACGGCGTGCCACCGTAACAAGGCAGTGTTAGTGTAACAAAGCCTAGGGGTGATATCTACGGTGTGCCACCGTAACAAGGCAGTGTTAGTGTAACGAAGCCTAGGGGCCATATCTACGGCGTGCCACCATAACAAAGCAGTGTTAGTGTAACAAAGCCTAGGGGTGATATCTACGTTGGGCCACCGTAACAAGGCAGTGTTAGTGAAACGTAGCCTAGGGGTGATATCTACGGCGTGCCACCGTAACAAGGCAGTGTTAGGGTAACGAAGCCTAGGGGCCATATCTACGGCGTGCCACCATAACAAAGCAGTGTAGACAGTGTTAGTGTAATGAAGCCTAGGGTAGATATCTACGGCGTGCCACCGTAACAAGACAGTGTTAGTGTAATGCAGCCTAGGGTTGATATCTACGGCGTGCCACCGGAACAAGGCAGGGTTAGTGTAACGAAGCCTAGGGGCCATATCTACGGCGTGCCACCATAACAAAGCAGTGGTAGTGTAACAAAGCCTAGGGGTGATATCTGCGTTGGGCCACCGTAACAAGGCAGTGTTATTGAAACGTAGCCTAGGGGTGATATCTACGGCGTGCCGCCGTAACAAGGCAGTGTTAGTGTAACGAAGTCTAGGGGTGATATCTACGTTGTGCCACCGTAACAAGACAGTGTTAGTGTAATGCAGCCTAGGGTTGATATCTACGGCGTGCCACCGGAACAAGGCAGGGTTAGTGTAACGAAGCCTAGGGGTGATATATACGGCGTGCCACCGTAACAAGGCAGTGTTAGTGGAACGAAGCCTAGGGGTGATATCTACGGTGTGCCACCGTAACAAGGCAGTGTTAGTGTAACGAAGCCTTAGTACTGCTCTGTAATAGTGATTCATTACCAACAATTGTGTCGGTATTGTGTTTAACTGTTCCGGAAGGGATCAATACCCCGCCCCCTGTCGTCCAACCCGATTAGCACTTCGCTTTCTTGCATCAATACTACCTGACTATCGAACACGGTCTCAGAGAGTGTTCGCGTCGATTACCGGGACTTGATAACACATGCTATGCGATTCTCTTCACGTTTCTTGAGTTTACAAATAAGTCTACCCCGTCCCCCACGAGTAGAACTTAACCCTGTCTTAAATTTCTGCATTCTCCTGATGTTTGGTTCATATTATCACCTAGAACATAAATAACATATCTCTCTTAATTCCCCTTGGCCATTGATGGTACTAGATCATATGCATTCAAATATGAATAAAAAATCTCTTTATATAATGTTCTTGTAAGTTATAGCTTTTTATCAGTCACAAAACTAATTTTTGTAATTTTTTCTTTTTAAATATGAAATACTGCTGTCAATGCGAAACAGTAATATAATAAACGTATGTACTTTTGCCGTGTATCTGTTTCTCTGCGTTCCTCAACTGTAGCTACCACCATCCTTACACCCTTATATAGTCAATAACTTTCTCCTCCCGTCATCCTATATATTTATTACCTTATGTGGCATCACCTTCTTTATCTTTATCGATGATACGTGAAATACATTTTCCCCAATTATATATAAGGAGATGAAATCTATTCTGTTTTGTGA